GCTGTTTCCGTTCAGATCAAATCACAACAACGTAGGAAACGTTGCGTTGCGTGACGCAGCTGACACAGAACAGCATACGCTGTTTACATCCAGCGGATACTCTCCAAAATGGCACTAGGGTGGAGGAGACGAGTTGTTGAATAAAGTCATTTTTTTCTTTTCTTTTGTGCACAAAAAGTATTCTCGTAGCTTCGTATAATTGCGGATGAACCACTGATGTCACATGGATTATTTTACAGATCTCCTTGCTACGTTTCTGGACTTGGTAACATTTCAGATGTATTGCTGTCTATGCAGGGTCAAGACAGCTCTCGGATTCCATCAAAAATATCTTAATTTGTGTTCCGAAGATGAACGAAGGTCTTACGGGTTTGAAACGACATGAGGGTGAGATATTAATGACAGAAATTTCATTTTTGGGTGAACTAACCCTTTAAACCTTTTGCATCTGTTTAAGATGCTTATTTAGATAATGAATGAAAACACACAGATCTTTATACTTTGAGAGAGTTAAATAGCATCTCAGTATTATTTTATTGTAATGTATATCAGGATTAAATACTATTAATGTTATATATAATTCGATCCTGAGATAAAATACTGCATGCATAAATTTAGGGTCAGTGACATTGGAAAAAATAATAGTTTTTTTTCAGCAAGGATACATTAAATTGATCAACAAAAATATTACAAAATTTAACAAAAATATTTATATTTTTCAAATAAATGTTGTTCTTTTGAACTTTGAAAGAATCCTAAAAAAAAATAAATAAATAAAATGTATCCTGGTTTCCACAATATATTATGAAATGTTTCTTGGGCACCAAATCAGCATATTAGAATGATTTCTGAAGGATCATGTGACACTGAAGATTGATTGGGTGAACTAACCCTTTAAACCTTTTGCATCTGTTTAAGATGCTTATTTAGATAATGAATGAAAACACACAGATCTTTATACTTTGAGAGAGTTAAATAGCATCTCAGTATTATTTTATTGTAATGTATATCAGGATTAAATACTATTAATGTTATATATAATTCGATCCTGAGATAAAATACTGCATGCATAAATTTAGGGTCAGTGACATTGGAAAAAATAATAGTTTTTTTTCAGCAAGGATGCATTAAATTGATCAACAAAAATATTACAAAATTTAACAAAAATATTTATATTTTTCAAATAAATGTTGTTCTTTTGAACTTTGAAAGAATCCTAAAAAAAAATAAATAAATAAAATGTATCCTGGTTTCCACAATATATTATGAAATGTTTCTTGGGCACCAAATCAGCATATTAGAATGATTTCTGAAGGATCATGTGACACTGAAGATTGAAGTAATGGCTGCTGAAAATTCAGCTTTGCCATCACAGGAATTAATCACATTTTGAAACACATTAAAATATAAAAATGCTATTCTGAAATTGTGATAATATTTTACAATATTACTGTATTTTTTATCAAATAAACGCAGCCTTTGTGAACATAAGAGACTTCTTTCAAAAACATTAATAAGTCTTACCCACCCAAAACTTGTGATTGTGTACACATTGTTCAGTATATCACCAAATACTGTACATAGTTCACACACTGCCTCAGGCCTCAATGGTCCCATTCGTGAACGAATAATTCTTTTGTTCATATCTTTTCAACTGAACCTGTTAAACTGGTCTAAACCGATTTATTCCAAATCAGATTGAATCTGTATGAGCGATTATCGAGTCAACAACTCGAGAACACAGAAACCACTCTACCCACCATGTCCGCACACAAGAGCTCACAAGATATGCAAAAATACAAATGCAACACCTGAACTTTAATAAATGAGAGCACAAACAATGAATTAACTCAGTCCTCATAATACCATATATCAACAGCAGTGGATTTCCTCTACATTTAAGATCTAGCATCACTGTTAGATTTATTATAATATAATTACATGAAAACTTCTGAAAAGCTGAGCGAAATATACTATTAAAAGCTGTAAAACTCTTACTTGTTTGAATAGATATGCCGTTTAAGTGGAAAATGCATTGTAGTTTCCAGCAAGAAAATAATTTTGTGAATTTATTTGCACTGAACCTATTGTAACCTTTGTGACAAAGGAATCTCATCTCAGCAGGAACCCACAATTACCCAGCAGATATCATATATTATCCTTATATCATATATTATAGACTACATACATAACAGTATACTGTCCACTAAAAACAGTGCCAACAGCAGCCAACTCCATATAAATTACTGACCTGTGGGCAAACCTCATGCTGATATAAAGCATATAATGACAGACACTTCCACAATCTCTTCAACAAAAGCAAGATTAGCATCACTAATCATAGTGTTGTGTTTCTAAAAAAAAACATGTTTAGATCACCACAAAACCAGTAAGACCACTTTCTGAACAAGAAGAGCATGCATTTGTTTCCACTGAAAGTGAGGGGGATTAAAGCAGTCTTGTGATGAAGTTTTATTTTTGTACTGCTTTTGATTTATGGTGCAACATCACCGCATCTTTACAAATAGTCTTCACAAGGTCACATGCTGTCTTTCCCTCTGTGCTGTGGATACACATGGATATATAGAGGCCACTTTGGCTCTGTATACTTTGGCCATGTCTTAAAGTGACAGTATGAAATAACTAGCTGTCAAGATATGAGAGATATTATAAAGCAATCGCCTGGGTGAGCAGAATAAACGTGTTTAACCTTAGTATAGCTTTCGTAGCACAAATAAATTCATGTGCAAAATTACGTGTGCCAACATAGCAAACTGTCAACCAGTTTAAAACGGAATAGCAGACATGTGGGAAATAAGTTAAGCACAACACAAACAAAGAACTTCAGCTTACCTAAATCATAGCTGACATGTAATTAAGTACCAAACTGCACAGCCAAACACGATCAATAACAAATGCCACTTGATCAACAGTTTTAACCATTAAGCTGAATCATCTAAGGTTGATTGGAGGGCAGAAAATATATTCTTGCAATCTGTTCTATCGGTTGTTGAATTTTCAAGCGTAAAAAGGCCTGACTAAAGATTCTGCTCTCTTAAATTACGCCGTTCTGGCACCATCTAGTGCGCAGGAGCGTTTACTACACTACTGTATCCTACTCCATTCCCACTGTACTAGCAATGGAATATTTAAAGAAATTCTAATAGCCTAGAGATCTCCTGTAAGCTTCTATCGCCGACAGTACGACGATATTTTATTGGACATTTGTGGCAAAATAAATAAAAATAAATAAAATAAAAATGAAGAAGCACATTTTTCTATATTCAAAGTTCATGAAGCATCAAAACTGCTAGGAATTATTTGTCAACACAAACAACAACAACAACAATAATAATATAACAATATACTATTAACGGTAATATTAGTAGTACTTATATTAATAGTACAATATTTCGTGAATTTATCTCAAAGTCATGTAAATATTTATGATGGAGTCCGACTCACTTCAGCGCATCAGTTCAAATAAAATATCGTTTCAAATAACCGATTAAAATGATTAATTCACGTCATAATGTCACTAGGTCATCACGTGGTCCTTGACGATTACATTTTATTAATAATAAGGATACTTGGGGGTATATAAGTATGTAACATTTCTGCTATTAGACCATTAAAGTATCTTACATTAGTCAAATCCTCGCTTCACTTCTCGGTTCTTGGGTTGTTGACTCAGTAACCGCAGGACCATCTGTTTCGGAACGAATCATTTAGACCGGCTTTGTGAGTAGGTTTAATAGATTCAGTGAAAAGATTCGACTCAAAAGAACGGTTCGTTCACGAATCGGACACTGCTCGTCAAGGCCTGAGGCGATGTCAAGCTATAACGCTTGTCCGTTATATCGTCTGAACGTTCTAATTTTTCCGAGTTAAATTTCCTAACTTTTCTCCTTCATTATCCACGTTATTCTTTCCACGGAATTCTTTAATAACTTATGTCTAGAATAACAGTGAGAACTGGCATATGAACATAACTATAAAAATAAATAGCTAACACAGTTAACGTTTGGTATTTTCTCACCTACCGTCTGAAGAAGGATAATTGCAACCTCGAGGCCTTCAAATCGTTTCTGTGCGAACTGAAGTGATAAACACCTCGGCATAAGCATGTTTAAAGGCAAAACAGCATGGTTCTCCGGCAGTGTTGGAATGGGGGTGACCAGCGTCTGGGGTGAGATGATGAGTATTTTGCTATATATGCTACTAATATAACTCACGTAAAGTGATTAAAGACACTATTAATGAATATTTGGGAATCATCTTATATCTGAAGGTTTAAACTTTTAAAATATAAGTAGGCTTCATTAAGAGTTAATATTCTTTCAGTTTCTGAAGGGGGAGCTCTTTCCTCCTGGAAAACAGCAGATTACCTCTTCAGTGCTGATGCCTCTTCTGAAGACACTAAAAGGTATTATTAGTTTACTGTACAATTCTTGTTTGAGGGTGATTTGGTCATACTTCTGAATACTGAAGAAAGCAGCCTATAGATTGTGCTTAATCTAAATCTTCTGTACCCAAAACCATTGAAATGCCTGAAAACTTTTGCCACAAAGTTTAACCTTATTTCTTTATGTTTTAGGATATATGAAAGTGAGGATTATGTGAAGAACAGGGCAACGGTTTTCCACAGCAATTTCGTGTCAACATGTAAACCCCGCCAGAGTGTAAAATCTGTGCCTATTGGCCACTATGTGCTGCCCCCCGACTCTATCCAGAATGGTGAGCTGTCCTAACTAAGTGTAAACCATAAACATGTTACTATTTTTAGTGACATGTTCCAATATAAAGAATGAGTAGTTTTTACATTTAATAATAGTGGATGCCTGATTACTGTTTGAATTTTTCTCTTTAGAAATGAGAGTGCTAATCGGAAGGTTCATTTGGGAAACAGATGAACAGGTAGGAGTACATCTTGTCTGTTAAAACCCGTGTCCAGTTATTCCTCTCAGTCATTTGTTAGCTTCTTAATCTATTAAAGGTGATGAGTGAAGAACAGATAAATACTGAAGAGTCTGAAGACAGTCTATCTGATGATCAACCAGTGAGAGAGAAGAACAGGTAGGCTATGCATTAACCCAGCATTTTTTTATTTTGTAATTATGTCTGAATTCTTTATAGTTTTGGGCAGAATGCATACATTTATTGTAGCGAGTTTTCATTTTTAAGCACATAATTCTTTAATATTTTCCTATTTACTATACAACTGAAGCTAAATATTATTTTCATTACCACAGCACTTTATCTTCATAAAAACATGGTTTAACCTTATAGTATCTTCATGTTCATGTTATCTATTAGCCAGGATGATTACGAGACTGTTGCATCACCGAACAAAGTGTGTTCATGTTGTGAGATGCGGCAATATCCTGTAAACAACATGATCTCAGGTACTTAATTAAGAAATAAAACTGACACCCTAGGACTTTCACCTATAATTCACATGTTCTCAAATTTAGAAACCGTCTCTTTTGCAGGATATGTTCATATTGACCAAATGAAGACGTATTCAGGGGAACTTTATGATTTTCTTCCCTCCCTCCATGGCCATAACGTTTCAAGATCTAATGACGTGACACCCCCTCATTGTCACAAAGAAATGTAATATAATATGCTTCACATAAGAAGTGGATTGTCTTTGTTTTATGCGTTTCTTTGGCAAAAGTATTTAATGCAAATGGATGCTCATTTTCAGTTCCTACTCATCTCATATGAATCTTCTTCAGCACTTCAGACTTTTCCCAACAATATAAAATCCAATCCCTGTATGTGAACAGAGGTGATATGACAGGTTACAGAGAATAACAATGGTTATATCATTAAAGTGATGTACTTAAAAACCTGTGTCGCTGTTTGGTTAATTACCTTCCAGTGAGGTGGTCTGTCCATGAAAGGATTTTCTCTGAGGTCAAGCTTTATAAGTCTGCTGAAACCAGGGATTAAGTAATCCTCCAGTGATCTGATGCTGTTAAATTTAACAGACAAGATCTGCAGATTTGCCATGTCTGGAAATAGGTATGATAACATATAATTAACAGAACACAAAAAATTGCACATGACTTGAGCACCAATGGGAACAAACAGGGGTTTATATCTAATAACCATTAAAAATAATAATGAGAGTAAAAGAGTAACTATTAGTCCTCTAAACATTAACAATATAGTCTAATAAGAGCAAAGTGACAGATCAGAGGTACAGCAGCGTCTTGCAGCAAACTGTAGCCAGTCATCCTTTTTTTTTCCTCTTGAAAAAAAAAAAACGTTCATGCCATAAATAGTAATTTCATTAACCTGTTAGTGCTGTAGGGATGTTTGTAAAACAGTTCTTGTCCAGGTTCATGAAGACCAATGACTGTAAGTGATTAACATCTTCTGGGAGGTCTTGAAGTTTATTATCAGCCAAGTTTAACCATTGCAAACTGCTGAGGCCCCCAAATTGTGATGGCAGGTGTGTAATTTTATTATCATGGAGCCCAAGTTTCTCTAACATGCCGAGTTTACCAACAGACGATGGTATGGAGACAAGACCGCATCCTACAGCCCAGAGCTCTCTCAGTTGTCTCAGGTCACCTATGGCTTCTGGGAGAACAGATAATGGGTTGTGGTTCACGCCCAGGTAAGTCAGGTGTTTCAGTGATCCAATGTTGCCAGGAAGTATGGTCAGCTGGTTTCTATCCAGTGTCAGTTCTTCAAGCTTTTCCAGATGCAGAATCTTACAGAAGATGCAAACACTGTTTTAGACATGATTTCTGTTTACAGTAAACAGTGATGTAGGCATTATTATATATTCTGTGCTACGAATTCATTCAATTTGTGTTTTGTGAGTAGCTACTTTGAAAAACACTAGTTTTGAGGATATGGCTTACCTCGTCTGGTGGTAAAATGAGCTTATTGTTGTTCAGAAAGAGTTTTTTCAATGTAATAAGTCTCGAAACACCAGGTGGCAAAACAACTAGACCTCGATGACTCATGTTCAGACTTTCCTGTTGTTTGTTAAGACATTCCAGTACCATATCATCCCCGTTCATTTTATTTCATTTAATAGAAGCACACTATTTCAGAAATACAGGCGAGACTGAATAGAGAAGCCAGACGCGTCATCATCACCATGGTTACATACAACTTCCGGCATTTCTGGAACTGTTCATTGTACCAATGGACCTTTTTCACCGTCTATGTAACATTTCAACAGTTAAGGTTCTCTTTCATTCTGTGGTTTCTGACAATAGGGAGCTAGAGGATGCCCTGGACTTTATTTGTATGATGGGAAAATTCCACATTCACAAAGCGAGATGCCTTAAGTTTAAACCTAATTGTAAAATATTCACTTCTGATTTACTTTTGCTTTACTCGTCACTTCAAAGAATCTCCGCTAATAAAAAAGCCTTAAAAACATCCAATCTTATAAACAAATTCATAAATAAGTTATAACTTTTATGATTGTAAAATAACTGTATATTTATTTACCTTTTAATTGTTATTAACATATGTATCCCCCATATGTTTATGTTCTTTTTCTAATGTTTATGTTTCTTTCTGATATTGTTAATTTAAAAAAAACAAAAAAAACTTTTTCACATTTTCGGTTTTCTCAGCAGCGGAAGTCGTCATAATTGGGTTAACTTGAAGAGCAGTGAATGGAAGAGTACCACAAATATATTTTTTGCATTCCCATTTGCTCAAATAGCAAAAGATATTCATCAGTCTTTAAATTAACGCGAGAAAAGTCGTTGGACAATGCAAAGCTTAAAGGGGAATATATTTTTATAGTTATTTTTTATTATTATTATTTGTTTATTCTTTAGAGGCAATGTTAAAATGCAGTAACTATTCTTCTCTGATCGCAGTTCTCTGCGTGATTTTGTACAGACTGCGCTCTGACTGCACAGCGCGCAGTGTTGATGTTCTTAAACAACCTAACGTTACCGGAAAACAGGAAGAAGTGGGCTGGCCGTGAGGGGCGTCGGTGCAGTGCATGTGTGAGTGAAAGTGCGCAGGATCCGTTCAGGAGCCAAATAATGAATATGAATATATAAGCGCTGGGAGTACATAGGTTATTTGGAGTTTGGTCTGTACGTGTTTAAGTGAATAAAATGGATGAAGACAACCTCACCGTGGTCCTGCATTCTAAAGGAAATCTCAGATTGGTATGCCATTTTATGCAATTTGGGTGAAGATTTTGCAACCCTTGAACTTGTGATTCATAATTGCAGATTTTTTCTGTATATTTAACAGGAACAGCGTCCCATTCCGGTACCAGGACCAAATGGTATGGTTTTTTACTTAGCAATATTTCCAAATGCATTGCAATGAAGAATAACGGTTCAATATTCATATTTATTCATTATTTTTCGGGCTTCTTTATTGAAGAGGTGTTACTTAAGATGCACTCTGTGGGCATTTGTGGATCAGACGTGCACTATTGGCAGAACGGCCGCATCGGGGACTATGTGGTGAAACAGCCCATGATACTCGGACATGAAGCCTCTGGTCGTGTGGTCAAAGTGGGCTCTGCTGTGACGCACCTCAAAGCAGGTTAGTTCTCTCTGTATCTCGCTTAGTTTTTAATACTATGCCAGTTACACTCAGATTAAGTGAGTTTTTCTTTCATTTTTGTATTCAACAGGGGACAGAGTTGCCATTGAGCCTGGAGTTCCTCGTGAAGTAGATGAGTTCTTTAAATCAGGACACTACAATCTGTCTCCCAGCATATTCTTTTGTGCCACTCCTCCAGATGATGGAAACCTATGCAGATACTACAAACACAATGCTAACTTTTGCTACAAGTCAGATCACTATTACTGGATAAGTTGTATAGCCCATGGCACTTTGATTCTATACATAATAATCATATATATATGGCTGTGTGTGTGCAGGCTGCCCGATAATGTGACTTATGAGGAGGGAGCCCTGATCGAGCCCCTGTCGGTGGGCATTCATGCCTGCAGGAGGGCAGGAGTCACTCTTGGAAACTCAGTGTTTGTCTGCGGTGCAGGTCAGTCATCTCTAATGATTGATATTTATGCAACTGTTACACATTAACTAACCAATCAGCGTAATGACCTCTGACTTCTTGGCCACTGCCACTTTTCTATAGTGTGTCAGGACTGTAAAACAGTTGTTGCTTATTAAGCTAATATCACTGTCATCTGTATAACATGACTTTTGGGATGTATGACTGGTTAAAGTAATAAATGGACTATATATGTTTGTTTTTATCAACATAGGACCAATTGGACTGGTGTCTTTGTTGGCGGCCAAAGCCATGGGTGCTTCACAAGTAATAATAAGTGGTAATGTATATATGCAGTATGTACAAAAGGGAATTATATATGTTTTCATTGCACAAATAAAGTCTTTTTTTTTTCTGTATTTGTAGACCTGTCCTCTGATCGGCTTGCCAAGGCTAAAGAGATCGGGGCAGACTTCCTGCTTCATGTGAAGAAAGAGGACGAACCAAAGGACATGGCCAAGAAAGTGGAGGGAATGCTGGGTTGCATGCCTCAAATCAGCATTGAATGCACTGGAGTGCAGAGCAGCATTCAAACAGCCATCTATGTAAGTTTAATGACAAAAATTAAGTCATACTGCTAACACCATAAAGACATGCTAAAATCACAGCCCATACTTAGACCTTGTTTTTGTGCTGATGAGGGTGTTTTTGTCTAGGCAACTCGTTCTGGAGGAGTGCTGGTGCTGGTTGGGCTTGGTACCGAGATGACCACTGTACCTCTTCTCAATGCAGCTGTCAGAGAAGTTGACATCAGAGGTGTATTCCGCTACTGTAATACGTAAGTAGGATCACTAGGACTAGGGATTCACATATGAATACAATGTACATACATATTTATTGTAGTTTGTAAATTCAAAATAAGATTTTATTCCTTTGCACACTTTTACCCATGTTCCCTCATTGTTTTTCCAGCTGGCCGGTGGCCATTTCTATGTTGGTGTCTAAGAAGGTGAACGTCAAGCCCCTGGTCACCCACCGTTTCCCACTGGAGCAGGCTATGCAGGCCTTTGAAACCACCCGCCAGGGGCTGGGGGTTAAAGTCATGTTAAAATGTGACAAGAACGACCAGAACCCATGAGATGAACTCTTGGACCTATGCCTGATTGATTATTGCCTAGCTACAGTCACTTGAATAAATTTGTATAAGTCCATTTTGTGAGTAACCTCACCGTCTTGTCTCAGGTACAGCAGTCAGAGGAATTCAGTGATTCTTCTTCACAGTGTACACAATTATTTACAATTTCAGTTGCATTATAACTTTATGAATATGTAGCATTTTACATTAGTAAAGTGTTTATAAATAAACCTTTTGTTATTATATAATAATGAAAAGTATTAAAATTGAATTTTATGTAACATTGTCAGAGTGCAGTTTTTAATATAATGCTATAATAATAGCTGGTTATTTTTATTGTTTACTTAACTTAAATCTTGTTTACAAACAATGAAGCTTTACCTAAAATTTATGATACAAGGATACTTAAGTTTGTCTATGTGGTTTCGTGAAATTGATTTGGGTTATAAGTAGAACGTGGAAGCAGTTGTACAAGTAGTCTGTTATAATCTTTTTAAATAAATAAAAATATGTCACATGCACAATGGCCAGCTAAACCAGTGAATAAATCCGTTAAAAGAAGAAAAAATAAATGCATAAATTTATGTATGTTTGTACAAACTGTGTTTTGTCCGGCATGTGGTTTTGATGGACTCATTAGACCCTGTCGGTGGGCATTCATGCCTGCAGGAGGGCCGGAGTCACTCTTGGAAGCTCAGTGCAGGTCAGTCATCTCTAATAATAGCATATATTTATGCAACTGTTATACATTAACTAGCCAATCAGTGTAATAACCTCTGACTTATTGGCCACTGCCACTTTTCTATTTTTTTCTATAGTGTGTCAGGACTGTAAAACAATTGGTGCTTATTAATCTAATAGCACTGTTGGCATACTTTATTTTCAGAAATGTCATCTGTGTAACATAACTTTTGGGATATGTGTCTGGTCAGGGGCGGACTTACCCATTAGGCAAAGGTAGGCGACCGCCTTGGGCCCCCAAAAGCCAAGGGCCCCCTAAAATGCTTTTCATATAGGATATGCGCATTAAGCGCGGACACGCGAACATTTGCTGTTTACGGTGTTTATTACAACGACAACCGTCCGAGTCAGTGGCGCCTGCAGGTGTACTGCACTGTGCGTGCC